CGCAGCAGCAAAGGGCAACAGCAGCAGCTGCAGCAGCAGCAGCAGCAGCAGCTGCAGCGCAACGCCGACTCCGCCTCGGAGACGCTCGCGCTCCAGGAGGCCGTCGTCGGAGACCGCGACGACCAACTCGCTGTCTACGGATCCAAGACAGAGTCCAGACCCCGCATCGTCGAGGTCTGAACAACGCTGCTGCTGCTGCTGCTGCTGCTGCTGCTGCAGCAGCGGCGGGACGGGCCCAGCTTTTATTCGAGCTGCTGCTGCGCGCAAGTGGCGATGTCCACGCAGGAGAGAAGGGCCCGCACACACACACAGCCGCAGCAGCAGCTGCTGCTGCTGCTGCTGCTGCTGCAGCACAGCAGCAGCAGCAGGTGGAGCTGACAGCAGCGGCGCCCTCGTCTCGCCCAAGGTGAAAGTATATGTGATGCAGAGAGTCTTTTCCAAAGACTTGTCGCGGTCTGGAGGACGTCAATTTGTATAATAAATATTATATATATTATATATATATTATATATAATGTATATAATATGTATAATATATATATATATTTTCAGTGACACTCGCGGCTTGGGGCGCACGGACACCACCCCAGACCGGCGGTCCCGCCCGGCGACGTCGGAGCTCGGAGCGAAGCCGCTGCAGCAGCAGCAGCAGCAGCAGCAGCAGCAGCAGCAGCGGCTGCTGCTGCTGGTCGTGGTAGTAGTAGTGGGGTCGCGGGCTTGGCGGCGAATCTGCACGGGAAAGCCGAGCAGCGCGAGGCCGAGGCGCTGCAGACAGCGGCTGCGGGCGGGAGCGCCGCAGCAGCCAGCGGCGGCGCCCGTGCAGAAAGCGGAAAGCTGCTGGAATTAACCGCCATTCTTCGCGATCTCGGGGAATTTCAGCATTTCGCACTCGAAAGAATTCCAATTCCCCTATTTGTAGTCAAGAACGCGCCTGTTTCCCGACGCACTCCAGAAACCTGAACGCCCGCGGTCCTGGCGCCGGCTGCGGGGAAACCGCGAGCTCAGGCCCCCTTCGGGAGACTAAAGGCTTTATTTTAGTCTTCTACAACGCAGAAAACCTTTAAAATTCAAATTCTTTCGCAAAAGTCCCACTCGTCGAACGAACTTGAACGGGGGCGGCCAGGCAGGCAGCGCTCAGGTGTATGCGCAGCTCGGGAGCGCGAAGGAAGACCGGCGCCGGGGGCCTCATCCATTTCTTTCCAAGTTGTTTTGTCTTTATTTGCCCTCTCAACTCTTTTCTTTCGCTTTTCCTTTCGATTTGAAACCAACTCCTGCACTCCGGAAGAACTCAGCTCCGCACGCTTCTGCTGCACTCCCTCCTCGCCTTCCTAGCCGCGCAAGCTCGCGCGACGCCCATACTTCTTGTCTTGCGGAGGCTGCTGCAGGCCTGCACACGCAGCTTCCCATCGAAGCAGCTGCAGCAGCAGCAGCAGCAACCAGCAGCAGCAACCAGCAGCAGCAACCAGCAGCAGCGAGCAGCACCGGAGATGCGGCGACAGCTGCACCTCGAGGACTGCAACAAGGTCTCTTCTTCCCGCCGAGCAGCAGCAGCAGCTGAAGCTACTCAGGCCTTCTAGTGACGCAACTGCTGGCGGCGCTGTGCAGCAGCAGCAACACGCCTTGCTGCTGCTGCTGCTGCCGCTGTAGCAGTAAGACTCGGCTCTTTGCCGTTGCTGCTGCTGAACGGCGTTCGTGCTGCTGCCACAGCAGCATCACGGCTTTTCTGCTGCTGCCACAGCAGCAACGCGGCTTTTCTGCTGCTGCAGCGGCACGGCGGTGCTGCTGCAGCAGTACGGTCTGCAGCAGCAGCAGCAGCAGCAGCAGCAGCAGATCGTACTTGTATATCCTCGCCGGGCGACACTGCGCTCTGCAGAGGGGAAGAGCCTAAACCCCCACGCACACCTGGGGTTTAGGGTTTAGGGTTTGGGGTTTAAGGGTGCGAACCCCTCGCAAAACTCATTTTGGTCCTAATTGCTTTATCTGCTGCTGCTGCTGCTGCTGCAGCTTGCTGCAGACATTAAGTCTCTAGATGAATAGACTTGACACTCAAAACCCAGCCAAACGGGCTGTACATACACTGCAACAGCAGCAGCAGCAGCAACAGTTGCTGCTGCTGCTGCTGCTGCTGCTGCTGCTGGCCTGCTGTGTGTACAGGCTTCAGCAGCAGATTCGCAAGTAAAATGAAATGGTTTTTTTTTCAATTGCAAAATAATTAAATTAAAAAAAAATAATATTTAAATTAAACTTCAAATGAAAGCCTCAGGGTTTTATATGGTGTTATAAATCGCAGTCTTTGCTGCAGTGTCTTCGGCAGAGGCGAATAGACACTTTTATGGACTTAAAGACAAATAAATAAATAAATAAATAAATAAATAAATAAATAAATAAATAAATAATAAATGAATTAATTAAATGATTAAATTAAATAAATAAATGAATAATTGAATTGCTTCAAAGTTAATTCTTTGGGATGTGACATGTATGGCTGTTGCATATGTTGCAGGAAATAACAGATGTACAATTAATTAATGAAGCATTTAATTAATTAATTAATTAATTAATTAATTAATTAATTAATTAATTAATTATTTTATTTATCTTTTTATTTATTTTTTTCAATTTGCTTTTTGTTGTCTTTCGCCACTCATTGATTGCGGTGTCTCGACACCTGCGCGCACTGTGGGTTGCGCAGACACCGGAAAGTTTTGGAAGTTGAAATAAAAACAAAATAAAATAAAACACAATTAATTCTTTTGGTCTTTTTAAGTCTTTTTATAAGCCTTTTTGTCTTTTTGAGCTCTCTATTTGCTGCTGCTGCTGCAGTATTTGCTGCTGCTGCTGCTGCTGCTGCAGCAAAAAGCATCCCTCCTTAGATGTTCTTTTGAGTTCGAGTTAGACAATTAAATCTTCAGTTGCCAATTATAATTAATTTTTTATAATTCAAAACTCAATTTCTTGCAGTTTGAATTGCCAATTAGAAGATTCAATTTGGGATTTTTAATTATTCCATTTAGGGCTTAGCTGCCTGTCTTTGGCCCGCCTCGCAGCAGCTAGCTGTGGCTAGCTGCGGGGGGCTGCAGCAGGCAGCAGCAAGCAGCAACTAGCCGTGTCTAGCTGCAGCTAGCTGCTGCAGCCTGCTGCAGCTGCTCGTAGCAGCAGCAGCAGCAGCTGCTGCTGCTGCTGCCCCTGCGGGGCAGCAGCACGGCGTGCTTCGGGGGCTGTGCAGCTGCGCCTGCAGCAGCAGCTAGCTGCTGCTGCATTGGCTAGCTGCTGCTGCTGCTGCTGCTGCAGCTGCTGGCGTTGGCAGCCTTGCCCGTGGAGTGTACGTACAGCTGGACGCGCAGCTAGCAGGGGGGCTGGACAGACACCCCGCGGGCTCCTTTTGCGGCGCTTGTTGGACTCAGTTCTTTCAAAATGGAATTAAAAAGAAATAATAAATCAATTTAAAAGTTTAAATGCAAAGAAGAAGCAAAACTACGCCGGAAGAGCCCGCGCTGCTGCTGGGGCTCGCTGCAGCGCGAGGCGGCGTGTGTCTGAGGAGCTCGGGAGCGGCTTTTCGGGTGTATCTACAGCTTCGCGAACAAACTGCACCTTCTCGAATTAAATTAAATCATAAAATTAAATTAAATTTTAATTTAAATTCGAAAAAGAGCCGCGCACAGCCGCGCAGCAGCTGCGCGCTCGGCTGCGCAGCACCGCTGAGGGGCCACAGCAGCAGCTGCTGCTGCACTTCCGGTCCTTCTTGCTGCTTTTTTTGTCTTTGTTTGGATTGTTTATATCAAATAATAGATCCATTATCAACTGGCGTTCGCGGAATCCGGTTTGCTGCAGCAGCAGCAGCAGCAGCAGCAGCAGCAGGCCTTGCCCCATTGCTGCAGCAGCCACA